GCTGAACCTGGAGTCTGACACAGGCCTCGATCCTATGACCCTGAGATCATATCTTGACCTTAAATCAAAAATCGGATACCTAACTGATTGAGCAACCCAGGCACCCCAGCATAATTTTTTGGTTGCCATTAGGCTTAAATAACACATTTTATAGTAATAACAGTTTATTTTAACCTGATAACAACTTAGCTTTGATTGCATACAAAAACCATATACTTTTAAAAAAAAGATTTATTTATTTATTGGAGAGAGAGAATGAGGGTAGGGTCAGAAGGAAATAATCTCCCTCTTGAGCACAGAGCCTAATGCAGGCTCAATCCCATGATTCTGAGATCATGACTTGGGCTAAAGTCAAGAGTCGGATGATTAACCAACTGAGCCATCCAGGCTCTCCCAAAATCATGTGCTTTTATTCCTCCTCACATTTTTTTTTTAATTCTTATTACAACTTACATCTTTTTATGTTGTGTTCCTTAGTAAAGTTTTGTAGCTTTAGTCATTTTTAATAATTTTTAACTGTTATACTATAGTTGTAAGTGATTTATCCACCATCATTACAGTGTTAGAGTATTCTGAATTGATATATTTGTCCTTTTTTTAACAATTTTATTTATTTATTTGACAGAAAGAGAGAGAGAGAGTGACAGTGAGAGAGGGAATACAAATAAGCAGGGGGAGTGGGAGAGGGAGAAGCAGGCTTCCCACTGATCAGGAAATCCAATGTGGGGCTCGATCCCAGGACCCTGGGATCATGACCTGAGCCGAAAGCAGATGATTAACAACTGAGCCACCCAGGTGCCCTGATACATTTGTCTTTACTAGTGAGTTTTACACTTTCATTTGTTTTCATGTTGCTAGTTCGTATCCTTTGTTTCAATTTGAACTCTCTTTAGCATCTCTTGTAATGTGGGCCTTGTGGTGATATACCTCAGTTTTTCTTTGGAAATGTCTTTATCTCTTCTTCTGAAGAACATCTTTGCCAGTTATGGTATTCTTGGTTGCCACCTTTTTCTTACAGTCTTTTGAATATATCATTTCACTTTCTCCTGACCATCAAGATTTCTATTGAGAAGTGTGATGATAATTTTATGGGGGCTACCTTGTATTAGATAAGTTGATTTTCTCTTGCTGCTTTCAATATTCTTTTTTGTCTTTGACTTTTGACAATTTGATTATAATGTATCTCTGTGAAGATCTTTTTATGTTTAACCTGTTTGGGATTCTTTGTGCTTTATGGATCTGGGTGTTTATTTCCTTCCCCAGTTTGTGAAAATTTTTTTGTCATTATATTTTTAAATAAGATTTCAGAAACTTTCTCTTTTTCTTTTCCTTCTGGGATTCCCATGATGTGTATATTGATTTTTTGGGGATGCTGTTCCAAAGAGCTCTAAGCTTTCTTAACTCATTTTAATAATTTTTTCTTTTTGTTCCTCTGACTAGGTAATTTCAAAGGATTTGTCCTTGAGTTCATTGATCCTTTCCTTTGCACACTCAACTCTGTTCTTCATCCCTTTAGTGGATTTACAGTACAATCATTGTATTCCTTAGCCCCTGGACTTCTGTTAGGTTATTTTTTTATGATTTCTCTCCCATTGTTAAACTTACCATTTTGTTCATGTATTGTTTTCCTGACTTCATTGAATTGTCTACTTGTGTTCTCTCCTGATGAGCTTTTAAAGATGATTATTTTGAATTATTTTTCAGGCAATTAGTAAATCACCATTTCTTTAGGATCAGCTACTGGACCTTGATTTTGTTCTTTTGGTGAGATCATATTTCTTTGGTTCTTTGGTTCTTCATGTTGCTTGAAACCTTGCATGCTGTCTTCACATTTGAAGCAGTCACTTCCTCTTTACTGACTGGCTTTAAGAGAGAAAGATCTTCACCAATCAACCAGGCTAGAGATAATGGGGTCTCTCAGACTCTTTCTGTATGGGAACTTGCTTTATTTTTTATTATTCCCTTGTGGGAGAAGTCTTAGACTGTGTGCCTTAGCTTGATCCTGCAAAGCCAGCCAGGTGCTGACATCCTCCTGTTTATCTTGCCAAGGTCATTGCCCTGAGGTGTTCAAGGTTATGCATCTCTTCCTAATCCAGCAGATCCAGATGGATGCTGGTAGGTGTGTGGCTTTCTGTGGGAGTTCCCATGCTTTGTCTGCAGGAGAGCTTAGGGTATTGGCTACTGGAGGGAGGGGTTGCATGGAATGCTGGGGGTACATGTTGGCTAGTTGTGGATCTCTAGATGGAGGTCCCACTGGGTTTGTGGGCAGAATTCTTACTAGAATCCACACTCCAGTTAGTAGAATCTGCCACTTGTTGAAATCCATGCATGAGTTGCTCTGAGCTCTTGTCTTTTTTCTCTGCTCTTACCAATTCCTAGATTATTCAGTTTTCCCAGTTCTTTCAATATTCTGGGTATGGAAATATGGATATGGGTCTCTTAGACACCCTCTTCAGAAGGCTGGGGAAGCTTAGGGCTCACTTTGCTCTCATTTTTTCCAGTGTGATAAATTATAAGTGAGGGCAGTATCTGTAGGCCCTGTGCTGTCTTACCTTGACATGAGTAAAGTGAAAGTAGTGGGTTTTTGTTTTGTTTTTGTTTGTTTTTAATCCTTTTCAGTGCTTCTATTTTTTGGTTCTTTGCTCCACTGGGGTGCCAGAACCAATCAGCTGTACACTGAGGTATTCTAGTTTGTGGATCATTGTTAAATCAGTTAAATCAGTTTCTATAGAGATGTATGGTAGGGAGCCTTGTTTAGGAGAGACAATTTTTTACTTCATAGGTCTCAAATATCCATTCTAGTTAATACAACATTCAAGTTATGTAAAAAACCCTTACCTTTTTAATCGATTTAATGACAAGATTAGTGAAAAATTTTATAGGATATAAATAGGAGGACAGTAGTTTTAGGAAGAATGAAGAGTCCTGCATGTGGGTATCAGATGTCAGAGCACAGGCATTGGTTCAAGTTTAGATAAGATCACAGAATTTGGTTTTAAAGGTCAAGGAAATAAAAATCCAAGGTAAGATAGTTTAAGGAATTGTCCTATAGGGCTGGAACTAGAGTAAGCTTAATCCTATAAGAAAGACTATTTTCTGTCATGAAATCATAGTAAGAACATCTAAAATTACATTTCTTCTAGCAATACTTATAGGTAAACATTTGAAATTTAATAAGATTTACCTATCATTATAAGCAGGAGACATGCTAACAGCTCCTAAGACATTTTTTAATGGCATTTGAGCAAGTAATTGATAATATCACATTGGAGGGACATTTTCAAAAAGGTTTTAATTGATTTAATAATTGTTATGAAACACTGGAATAGAATGTTTGTATGACATTAGTGAGCCAAAGAAAAACATGGTAAAATGGGGAATGAAATAAGGAGGTAGATTTATATGTAAGTGACTCCTTGATGGATGGCCAAGCTTATGGTAGAGTTATTATCTAGTCAAGAAGTTTATGCACTGGATAAAGAAAATGTTGAATTTGGTATTTGTAAAAATAATTTCCTTTCTATTTTTTTCATTTTTTTTGTCCATCTAAAAGAGAAAAATGGAGAGATTAAGTAGCACAGGAGAAAAATAGGAAGGAAATAGAATCATGAAAGGAAGAATTCTGAAAAATTTCAGGACATTTAATTTTATAAAAGATCTAGTTGTATTTTAAATTATATGTGAACATTACACAGGACTAATTTTTTTTCTAAATGTTTAGAAATGTTTTTTTCTTTCTGTAATGATTTTCTTTTCCTAGCTTGACATAGAATTTTAGTTCTAAAAATTTTATCCTACTTTTGATCCCCAAAGATTTATCATAATATAATAGGACAATGATCAGTATAAGATACATACATACACACAATATACATACACCTCTGTGTATGTGTGTTTACTTATCACTGTGTGTATTTTTGTATATGTATATGTATACATATACATGTATATGTATATATTTTGTATATGTATGCTCACATATGCACTCACATTTTTGAAAATTATTATATGATTTTATTTTATGCTAAGAGTTCTTCAAAGAGCTTTTATTTGATACAAATTTTTCCCCAATTATCACATTATGCTTAAATCTTGGAAAGTCTTCCTCTCTTAATATATTTTAATAAAAGAACCTTGGGAGCCACATAACCTCCATCTTTTCATCATAGGCTACTGATTATCTTGACTTCTATTGCCTGAAGACTTATATCTGATGGAAACATTAAAAATACCATTTTGGGTTCCAAATAGTAGGAAATAGCTGGCAGTTATAATAGATCAAATGGAAGATAGAATTTTACTTTCTAAATAAATAATTAAATTCAGAATTCTCTTTGATAAGTTAGTGTTTAGGCTAATTAGAATATATGATTTATAATGAGGCATAATGAAAATAATAGTGAATTAGGTATTTACAACCTAGATACTTATCACTGTTTATTTGCTCAGTGACCTTGGGCAAGAGAGCCTCAGCTTGACTCATCACCAACTGAAATATATATTTAATATCTTTACTTCCCAGGTCTTTTTAATGTTGTTAAGATGAAATGATATATGTGAAAATATTATGTAAACAATGAAGTTCTATATTAAGGTGACTATTATAAATTATAGTTGATATGTGCCATGGATTCTATTAAGCATTCATGTAATTCTTACAACAGTTTTATGGGACAAGCAACATTTTAATATTCCAATTTTACAGATCAGGAAGGTGAGTTCCATAGTGTCTAAAATATTTGATTGAGTTCACACTATCTATGATTGGGAAAGGCAAGATTTGGATACTGGTTTGTTTGACACTAGACTTGATGCTCATAATTGCACAATTTTTATCTCTCATTTGAATAATAATTCCTATATAGGATAATGCATGGAAATGAATTCTCTCTTTTTTAAAATCTCTTCTGAATTCTAAATGTGAAAATGAAATAATATTTATTTTTCCTAAAAGCAGAATTTAATGGAGTTCTAATTATTGAAATGTATTCTTCCTTTAGAATTTAATTGTCTTGGATCCACTCACAGTGACTGAGGAAGAAATTAGACCATCTCTAGAGAAACGTCTTGAAGCAATTATCAGTGGGGCTGCACTATTGGCTGACTCTTCATGCACTAGAGATTTCCATCGGGAACGGATTATTGCAGAATGCAATGCCATTCGCCAGGCTCTCCAGGACCTGCTTTCAGAGTACATGAACAATGTAGGTAACTTGTTTTCCCCCAACCCCATTCACTGGTTGTATGCTGAGGGTCTTTCTATGTACAAATGTGATAAATTACAAATGAATACTTGATTTTACATAGGCTGGCTTTCTGAGTGGGTTCTACTTACAAAGTACAGCATTGATATAGGAATTTCTAGGGATGAGATCCAACAATATATAATTGTTTTGTTTGAGGCAGTATCTAAATATTAGTTGAAGGAGGGAGTCAAAATTGGAGAAAAGAAATTGGAGTTGGACATCAATTTAAAGGATAAAAAGAAGATGAAGAAAAGGGCAGGTTGTTCAGGATTTCGTCGGTGAATAAGAAAATCAGAATTTAGATAGTATTAGATAAAGTCAATTTTGAAGGAATCAGGGGTTATTTTTGAAGGTATAAAGAACTCATATAGTTTGTAACTATAGCTCCCAACCTTTTCACACGTGACGTAACGTCTTAATTTTTTTGCGATTTTAGCTATCTCTTAGGAATATGAGAAATGCTATCTAAATTTAGACACATGTGAAAATATTTATTTCAAGGTGCTCTTGGTTTCATTTCATAAATCTTCATATATGACATATTAATTTCATATGTACATATTTATCCATCTCTAGAGTATGCCAATTCTTAAACATTCAAATCTTGCTGCTGTTTTCAAAATGAGGAAGAAAGCCTTGATGACATTGTCAAGCATATATTGATCATAAAGAATTCTTAAATAATAGAGCTAAACAAAATGAAGGATTTATAATATGTATATAATTAATATATAATAATATATATTTATAAAATATTTTGTTCATCTGCCTTATAAATGGAATAATTAAAGAATTATGAAGGTACATTTTGAAAATTATTAGTTACAAATCATATGACTTTTTGGGCATGAAGTTGAAGATTTAGGATTGTTCGGTATAAGTAATTTATGTGAATAATTGAAATGTGCTAAAATTAGTTAATGAATTTTAAGGCTCCTTCTGCATATTTGATATATCTCCATACTCTTAATATTTGATGACTTTGGCTCCTGACCAAAAATCTCTTGCCTGTCAAGAAATCAAAGTTGTAAGGCAGATTTTGTTAACAAGAAGAGCATGTTAGTAACATCAGGTCCTGCTTCTGAAGCTAGAATAGTTCCATTTTTAGCACATGATATATTTTTTTTATTTCCAGTATTTTTTAAATTTTTTATGGAAAATTATGACAAAGTGTAAGAAATAGAAAATTAAATAAGGCAAGCCTGAACCCAGAGAGCACATAATATATTTTTAGTTAAAGACTTTTTAAGGGAATTCATCACTTATAAGAAACTCAGAAGATAATATTGTATTGGATTTCCTTCTCCCATGTTCTTTAAACTATTAAAATTATTATTCTCATATTTGTAGGTAAAATACAATTAAATATGTTTATTTTATCTTTAATTATAAACTTATAGATAAATTCCCTTTATCAGACATAGATAAAGTTGTTTTATTCCTTTAGATACAAAAGCAAACAGATACCCAAAAAAACAGTCTCCCATGTACATAGTCAGGAATGGCTATGTAATTGTGGAGCTTGATGCCAAATGAAAATGCAAATATTCTTTAAAAGCAGGGGAAAAAACTCTTTTTTCCTTTTTCACAGTCTTGTTTGACCCAAGAAAGGTGATTTTTATTTGCTATTTAGTGTTAGGTTCTCTAGTATATAGAGCTAATTGTGGGAACCTGCAGATCCTCTCAGGTGTCTGTGGCTCTTCTCCATGACTGTAAGCCATTTTGCCTTGTTCCAAGGCCATCACCAGAAGTGGCAGCAATTGTTTGGTGGGGGAGCAGGTGGCTAAGGACCTGTGCCTGGAAGGCAGAGCTAAATGTGAGTCTAAGACATATGCTTCATCGCTGCATCAGACTTCACTAATATAACCAAATTCAAAGATAAATTTCTTAAAAATGTTGAGACTGTGATAGCTGAGCATTAAAGGCCAACCATAAGGTTTCTTTCTGAGTATGGGCACCTATGTGCAGTCACATGCCCTGAAGCTGGTCCTGTACATCATAAATGCATATCACGTAAGCAATTTTATGGTTCTCTTCAACTTTGGGTTTAAAACTATTTGAGTTAAAAACTATTCATACCAAAGGTAAAGTGATGGGAATATTCTGCCCTGGGTGCAATCATTAAGACCTTACATAATATCTAGATATTTATAAATAATAGTAAGACTAACTAAAAGTTGGTCTGCTTTTTATTTTCACCATACTCTAGCAGTTCTAAATGTTAAGTGATAAAATGTTTTTCTCAAAACTCTTTTGTTCTTCTAAGTTCTAAACAATTACGTTGGTTTTAAGTGATGTTTAATAGTATGTATGTATGATTCAAATTGCACATTTTATGATTATACTTTAATAACCATTATATTCCTTATGCATTTAAACAGCAGATTCAAAATAAACAATGACACAGTGATTGTAAAGACAAAGAACTATGAAATAGAGCCACTTCAATTCTGTTGTTTTATATCATATGGAATTTTATTTAAATTTAAAAAGCATGACAATGAAACAGTATGAATTTCCATGGGTAATATTTGTGTTAAGTAAATGCAAATTTTATGCATGTGAACTTCATATGTGAAATTTTTTTTTATTTGTGAAAGATTTTATTGAATTTGAGTATTAACTTCGAAATTTGTTTTCCTTTAAGATTTGTCAATTGCTTTAAAGTTAAAGAACAAGTCAGGAAAATAATGATTATTACTGAAAAGTAATTTTGTCATACAGAGAAGAGAGGTGTTTAAATATCTACTCCAAGTATAAAATATGCTAAGTGAGGCACTAAAAGTACTTAAGTATTTTTCTGTGTTTTACTGCTCTTTTTCTTAAGAAGGATTTACTCATATTCAGTTTCAAGGCCCATTTGTCAAGTAAGCAAAACTTACTTATGTTATTAATATCCTGATAGTTATGTTAGTTTTAAAACAAGGTAAGTTCTGTATTAGAAGAGTGAAGTGGAAAGAAACTTTTTTATTTACAATATGCAAATAATTAAGATCAGAGGCAAGTAGCTTTTTAAAATCATGTCCAGATAATTATCTTAATTCATTTTTTTTCCAAGGGTAGATGCAATTAGGAATTTAAATGCTTTTCAGTTATTTAATTGATTAGATTGTACTACTCTTCATACTTGATAGAATTTGTTTTCTTCTTCTTTCCTCCTTCGCCCATGTTTCCTCTTCTCCTCTTCTGGCAAAGGAGAGTAAACACCCCAGAGATACCTCTCGATTATGGCACTTCATCATTTTTTGCTCTCATTCCTGTTGGAATTCCTGTGTTTACTCGTCTGCCATCTCTGCTGGACAGGAGCTCTAAGAGAGTGAGGATTATCTCTCTTGCTCTTTAAACAGAGACTTTCAGGTAGCAGGAGCTCAGTAGTTATTATTTGGATACACGTAAATTGAGTTTAATACTTGCTTCTTTTCAGTTTTTTAAATTAAAATGACAATGTGTCTAAAGCAATTAATTTGTATTTATTTATTATATTAAATGATTACCATGGAGAAAACACGGGGAAGATTAATGATAAGAACAGATACACAGAAAAGAAGAAGTGAGAAAGCTGTTCTTTGGGTGATCTTAGTATATTTGTATATTCCTTTCTCTTAGGATATAATATGAAATACTTCTTGAGGAAGGCTTTTTTTTTTTTTTCAGGGAATTAAAGAATTACAGTGTGTGGGTAATGTCTGGTGATCCGCCCTAATGTTGGTGTAGAGGTCAGAGCAGGAGGAGCTAAATTTATGCAGTGGTGGTCCACATGATCAGAAATCCATGTATATGTACATTATATTAACATTATATTATAAGTACAGCTCATTAATAATGAAAAATGAATTTTTAGTATTATGAGAAAGCACTGCAAAGGCAGTTTAATAGCTCTTTTTTCATATTAAAATACAGTATTTTAGGCCTTATACTAGTATCTTGACCTAGACAATGAATATTGGAATTAAATAGCAGGAACCAATCTGGAAAAACAGTGGGGTATATTTTCAGAACAGATTCCCGAGTTTTATTCCAGGGTTATTTCACAAATGATGCTTCTTTATACCTTTCATTAGCCTTAATGAAAGGGAATATACTTTCCTGGTATTAGCTGAACTCAAACCTTTCTCAGAATTTGCTCAAAGATTTTAGGATAGCTGATGTACTTCAATATTCAACTTCCAGTTTAAGGAATGCAGTGTTTCATTTGGTGGGCTTGGTTTACTTTTCAGATTAGTTTTGAGCTTTTGTAATTGGGCTGTTGACGATTGTTGAGACATAATAAAGATAACTGTGAAAACTTAAGACATGATTAACACTTATAAACTGTGGATGTTTTATATGAATGTGACTTCAAGGTTTCAAATTTTGTAAGCCTGTTGAGTACAGAGAAGTTCAGCAGTGGGAAATGAATATAGTTTATGTTTTCTCAGGTTTAGTCCACATGACCAATTTAAGTCTAAATTACTTTCTTAAACAGATCAGTAAGTCTTGATCATTTTTTTTGACTCAAACTCTATGTTTAGTGTCTTGTGACATTGGTAAGAAATTAGTAGGAAATGAAACCCGATGGATCCATTACAGATAAAACAGACCACCACTTACCACTCTAATGATTATATATATTTGTTGTAATATTTTCCATATATTTATGGAAATATTTTCCATATATACATAGGAATAATTATTTTATATCCATAGCTCAATAGTCAGCACAAATCTCACTGGGATAAAAAAAGGAAGTGTTAGCAATGCTGCATTCTTTTTAAAAAAAATTTTTAATTTTTTTATTAACATACAATGTATTATTAGCCCCAGGGATACAGGTCTTTGAATCACCAGGTTTACACACTTCACAGCACTCACCATAGCACATACCTTCTCCAATGTCCATAACCCCACCACCCTCTCCCTAAGCCCCTCCCCCCAGCAATCCTCAGTTTGTTTTGTGAGAATAAGAGTCTCTTATGGTT